ACACAAGTACAAATCACAGTGTGGAAAGCATCAGAAGGATTTGTAGGTGTAGACAGCCCTACACATTGACATAGCTGTAACTGTAAAGATGTGTATCACCTTTAAATCTCTTTAGAGACTTTGTAGATCTGTAGACTTTGCAAATTAAAAGATTACAGGCAGGAATTCTGTATGCTAAATCTCTACTTGTCAAAAATTTAAGTTTGAATCATCATGTCTCAAACTTAACTACAGTCAATACCTGAAAGAACTGTGGTAAAAAGAGTTAACATTGGAATTCACATATTAAATAATATATGCTCCATTTTTACTTTTACAAAAGAAATCTATTATTCAAGTCAGAAAACAAATTGGATATAGCTATTGTAACATTCTGACTATGCCTTTACCATGGCCAAAAAGACATGGTCCTTCTTCTCAGCCACATTTCCAAGAAATTAAATGGACATATTCTCCTTAACTGAAAAGCTACTCACATGAAGTCTAAACAAAAGGTCGTGTGTCGTTCCTCCCCCCTCCCATCCCTCCCTGATAAATAGCAAGGAGACAAAGCAATCAAAAAAGATGCATTGCATTTTCAGCTTTTCTTACCTACAGGCATACAGCATGTTGGACATAAAGGTGATAGGATTAGTACTGCGAGAGGTGTCCATCACATAAACAACAACAGAAGGAAAAGAGGAAGCCTGGAAATACGTGGAAAAATACAATTTAATTAGAAGTACACGCTGTTCAAAAGGCACTTTTTCCACATAGCCTCAATGTCAAGTTACACAGAATACACTTACTAAAGCTTCAGTTATAATGGTTCCTGATGCTGACCATGTGAACACCTCGATTTGACCTGGTGTGTCAATAATGACATACCTGTTAAGAAGTCACCCGCAACAAACAAAAAGGGAAAAAATTAGTCAAGCACAAGGTCCTGTCATGACTAGACTAACACAGGTACAGAAGAGCAAATCACATGATTATTCTGCTCAGAACAGAAAAGCTTTTCCCAAACAGTGACAAGATTTAAGAACACACCTGAAAAGATTTTTTTTTTAGGATTAGGATTAAATTAGGATATTTAAACCATTTCACATATTTTTTCCACATTGATTCCAGAATAGTAAAACTTGGTAGAATATACTTACTTGGATGCATTTTGTCTTTTTTCAATAAACTTCATCACCTGATTGAAAAAGAAGCAGTACGCATTGTATTTAGACTCAGAACAGGAAACACAAATAGTCATTTCATAACAGAAACATTAAATTGAATAGCCACACATGTACGTATCAAAAAAGCTGGAAGTCTAAGCCTTTCATTGTGTGAAAATAGATGGCTCGAAAATACTCAGACAATGCATATGCCAAAAATTACCTTAATTTTACCCATAATCTAGTACCTGGTGAAAAAAATGACATAATAAATGCAGTTGTTCCCTATTTCCTAAGAGATTGTGCATTGCTTTAATATTGTGAATAAGGATCCCACCTCAGTGCCGATTTAGCATTAAGATTTATGAGAACAGTCAATTATCAAATAACCCTAGGAAAACTTAGCTGATTTCCAGAAGTGAGCTTCCCTATTTCAAAATCTGAGCAATCATATAAAACAAAATGTTATCCTGAACATCATGCAACAGAACAGTTATATACAAAGACTTAGAAATTGACATTCTGTACATATAACTTCCAAATTTTACATAAAAAAAAAAAGAGATGGGAAAAAAAATATATATATCTCCCTTAAATGAGACCTAATGAAATTTGGCTGCTTTTCAAAATAGGGAGAATACTATTAACTCTCAAAAAATATTTAAGGGTTAAACAACAGTGATTTCTGAAGCTCCAGCTACGCAAAAAATCCAGTCCCCAGCACAGTATCCATAGCCCAGTATCACATAGGAAAAACCTCATACCTGATCAAATCTTGTAGCAAAAAGATTGAGAGAGGTCACTATTCCACCATTTGGGCCCAGCCCATATCTAGACACTCCATTTAGGAAAGCTGATGACTATACAGACCTCAGAGGGCTTATTTTTAAATTCTGATAGTAGCTGGCCATTGACCTTGGATGCCTTGCAGCAAAAGACAATTCTCCCCATACACAATTAAGCCTTTTAAGTGATGCAGTACCTGGGCAAGAGAAAGACTACTTGCTATTTGTTAAAACACATGTGATTGACAAAAGGAAAAGAAGCTACAACGTGGCTTCCTCTTACCATTATTCAAGCATTACCATCTCCGGCAAAGAAAAAAAAGAAAAAAAAAGTGCACTTATATACTAAAGCCATCATTGTCTTTCCAAAAAAGATTAACACAGCCAGTAACTCAGAGTTTAACAATGTCCTGAGTGCAGTTCATTTTTAAGATTATGTACTTCAAAAATACAATTAAAAGATTTCTTACACAAATCATTCACAGAAGAATTTAAATGGAAAGAATTGGACTTAACTTTGTAGAGACACTCAAAATGTCTTGAAGATTTCAAAATTGTTTTTCACACATACAGGTCTATACTAATTATGTTCATGGAAACAAAGACTCTTTTAATTGCATCCTGTAATTTCCTTACTGCACAAGAACCAGCACTGATTCATTAGCACATACAGTCTTCTGGGGGTACTGCTCTAAATATCCAAACATGCTAACAGACACACCCCTTAAGCGCTATTTGATGAGATACTTAAACTCCAATGATGGCTAACAGAGACAGCAAAGCAAGTAATGCATCTACATACCAAATTCAAACTTATGTTTGAATGTTTTGCTAGCAACTCCTAATCAAATAACAGCCAAAATCATAATCCTAACCTCCATCATCCCTTCTTTTTCCCTAAGAGTAAATGTAAGAGCCATGCTAGTATGTCAAATCCAAACACTGTATATTAACTCCACCTGCAAAGGCTGTTGCTTGAGAAACAAAGGACCTCCATACCTCTTTGGAACTGCAGTCCTTTTAGTGTAATGTTACTGAACTACAGTTACCAAATTACTGTACCATGTAAGCCATCAGTCCAGTGTCTTAGAGATTCAGAGAGACAACAGTGCTTTGATTACCGTCAATGTGTAAATAGTTTTCTTCACTTACTACAAGCAAACAGTAATTTGAATATTTTTGATAATAAATAACATGAGATTTGTAAATACATGGGGAAAAAGCTGCTGGCTTCCCCCATGAAAAATAAAAGCTCATTGAAAAAAAAAAAAAAAAACACACACAAGAGAAGTGGATGGAGTGCATGCTATTTATAAAAAGGCACTACTAGGCAGAAACACTTTTAGCGCACTTTTTACACCTAAGTATCAAATCTTATTTAACATGTATTTCTAATCTCTCATGTAAGAAGTACAGTGAAAAATCATGCACTAGTCTGCATTGTTGCAATCCCAATGCCTCCTGTCCCCTTTATCTTGATGTGAAGAAGTGACAGGCAACTTTTACAAAATCCAAGATTTCAAAGATTACTGTAAGACTTAAAAACAAAAAAAAAAAAAGGATACTGTTTCATGACTTCTTTGTACTTCACAGTGTCCCGGATATCTAAAGTGGGAATACACATAAATAGTTTTAATATATTTCTTTTAAAACAGTCTTATTGATTTGCTGACTAGTGAAAGCCTTTCCCTTTCTAGCGAGTCTCCTTTTTCCTCACTAATAGATCTAGAACCAACAGAAAAAATCCCACAAGCAGAATAAATAAGATTTAACAGATTGTCATAATATACATGAAATTCACTGTTACTCCTCTGAAACAGCACCAGGTTAAGTTTTTGAGCAGTAACTACTTCAACTGAATTTTATTCTCAGCTCATCAACAACAGTTAATAAAGCATATATATTTAACCATCTTATGCGAGATCCAGCACTACAATGCATTATGGAATCCTTCATCTGACATCAATAAAAGCACTTTGGTACCACCAGCTTTCTTATTTTCTACAGAGACAGACTGACAAACGTTAGAAAGTTTGAAAGAGAGAACCCTCACAAACCTAAGGATTGGTATGGTAAGCTTTTAGGAACTGCAAACCTTTTGGAATGGCCAGATATAAAGCCTGTTTATTGTTATTTTCTCTACAATCAACGTTTTCAAAAGAGCTTTAAAAAGTTATTTGGTTGCACTTACAGCTACCACAGCTCTGAAAACAGGAAACCTGATCGAATCTGCTAAAATGCTCATTGCAAATGAAAGGAAAAAAGGTGCACATTAAACCACACAAAATAATACAAAGTATGTACAAATGCAATAGTAGAACGGTTTCGGTCCTAAAAATTCACAATCAAGGGAAAAAAAAAAAAAAAAGTTCTCCTCGCGGTAGGACTTCGTATCTCTTAAAGAGAAGATAAATAGCCTAATTAAATGCCTTACATAACACAGCCTCCCTCCCTTTCTGCGAAACATCAGAAAAACAGTATACCAAAAAAAGGGTTAACTTATGGCAAAAGATATTTTTCTGTTCTTGTGGACTCGACAAATACGCGCCAGCTCTGATCTCGGACCACCCCTCCATCTTTCACCAACCTCAAGCTGCCGACCACCCGGCACAGCACCAGCGAGCCGGACTCGCGTCGGCGCGGCGGGACTCACCGATGTTGGCAGGGAAGGGCAGGCTGTGCACGGCGGGGTCCAGGTTGATCACGTACGGAGGGCAGCGCTGGCCGTGCAAGTGAGCCGCGAGTCGCTAAGGGGACACGAGAAGGCGTCAGGCCCCGCCCGACGCGGAGACAGGGGCGGGCAAACCGACAGCTCCCCGCTGCCGTCTCTCACCTGCACAAAGGTGGTCTTCCCGGAGCCCGCCATGCCCAGCACCAGGACGCACACCGGCGCTGCCGCCGCCGCCGCCATCTTCCCAGCAGCCGCTTGTTCTTCCGGGGCGCGGTGGGGAGGCGGGGACCAGCCTCGCAGCTTCCCACGCGTCGTTGCTCCGCCGCCGGCCGGTTACGTACCGCAGGCTCGCGCGGCCTCCCCGCACGGGACGGCCCGATCGCGGCCTGGATGCAGCTGGCGCCGCGGCGTTCGGGGCCGGCGGCCGCCGTGAGGAGGCGACCGGAAGGGACAGGAAGGAGCGACCTCGCGGTCGTGCGCGTGCGTGCGGGCCGCGTGCTGACGTGGCGGCGGCACCATGAGGGGTGGCGGCGGCTCGGTGAGTCCGCGGGGGCCTCGCCAGCAGCGCCGTCGGCAGCTGCCCGGGGGGCGTGCGGCCGGGCTGTGGGGAGCGCGCACGGCGCCGGGAGCCCCCGCGAGATGGAGCCCGGAGGTGGGAGCGAGCCGGCGGCACTGGAACGGGGCGCGGGGGCTCCTCCTCTTCGCCCCGAGGGTCCTGCTGGGCCCCGGGCTGTAAAGAGAGGGGGCCCGGCGCAGTGCGCCCCGGCCCGGTGAGCGGGCACGGTCCCTCTATCGCCGCCCGCCGGCTGGGGCTGCGTCCTAGAGCGGGCGTTGGGGCGGGCAGCAGGCGGGACCCGCTCTGGGCCGCTGGGAGAGCCGCCCGCGACGCGCAGCCGCGAGCTTTCTGTTTGAAGGCCTGGAGCCCGGCAGCAGCGGGACGGCTGTGTCCAGCGCTGTCCGGCCGAGAGAGGGACCGGCAGCAGCGCGCTGCTGGCTCCTCTGGCGCTGATCGTGCGTTTTGTCTGAAAGGCCTTTGTTGTAGGAGACCGTTATCTGTGAAGTACAGAGGAAAAGATTAAAATGGGGAACTGAAACAGGGAGTCCTTTAAAAGGTGCTAAGCTTGTATTACCTGCCGCAGGTCCCAGGGGTTTTCCCTTGGGGATAGGGACAGTCATGGTAGTGTGGGTCACTTCCTGCTTTTACTAATGCCTCCTTGATAACTCTGAAACTGGAAAGCTGGGGAGGGTTTCTTTGTCAGGGAGCGTAAGGATAGGACAAGAAGTCACAGCTTTAAACAAAAAAAGTGTAGGTTTAGTTTGGATATAAGGAAGAAATTCTTTACTCTGAAGGTAGTGAGGCACTGGAACGGGTTGCCCAGAGAAGTTGTGGATGTCTCATTCCTGAAAGTATTTAAGGTCATGTTGGACGGGGCTTTGAGCAACCTAGTCTAGCAAGAGGTGTCCCTGCCCATGGCAGGGGGTTTAGAATGAGATGATCTTAAGGTCCCTTCCACCCCAAACCATTCTATGAGCATAAGAAGTAGCAATGAGTAAATGACAAAATAAAAGTCTTTGTTAAAAAAGGTTTCTGTGATGTGGATAAAGGAAGCACCAACTGATGGAATATTCCAAAATGATTAAGATAAAAATGGAAAGAGAATTTAAAAGAGACTGGAGGCAACATCCTTGAATGGAAAATGCAAGAATTATAAAGGAAAAAAAAAACACTAGAAAAAACAGCAATTTACAGTCTAAAGTATTTGTCATAATGTGATAAGTCACAGGCAGAAAGTAGGTACCATTAAATTAACTGGAGACCAAGAAGACTCCTTCATGCCCCAGTCCAAAGGGTATAATTGGATTTTGTATGGAAAGTAGAGAGAAGCTCATCCCTGTTTTGATTACAGTTCTAATTTATCTGGAAATGAAAGGGTTCCTTGCTACAGAACAAGTGTCTGGTTGCCAAAGACAACAGGTTGCATAAGGATGGTATGCACATTCTTAAAATGCAGGTGATTGTGTTTTGTTGGAAAACAAGCACTCAAAAAGAAAAATTATATTACTAATGTGAATTGTTCTACTTTGTTAGGATACCAGGCCTGTACATCACGGACAACAGAAAGCCAAGAGGTCTCTGGGAAATAGAAAGTATGTGAATATTTCATGTCAAATTTCACTGGGGGGGTTGGGGGAACTAAGAAGATTCATGTTGAAAACCTGTATCTGGTCTTTACATAGTTGTCTACATTTACGAGCTACAACAGTTTTTGTTTTGTTTGTTTGATGAGGATCTTGTGAGATCCACACTGGTTGCTTAAATGTTTATTTTTAAACTGTGATCAGGCTGTGCCTAATCCGTAAGTTGAAATGCTGAGGTAGGATGAATATATATATATATATACTTTTTTTTTTCCTGTGCTCCCGGGTAGCTTTCTAATGTCAAACTCTAAAAGATATGGTATTAAATAATACTGTGTGTTACATTTTGCCTTGCTAGTACTTTTCAGTATACAAAACTCAAGAGATTGGGTGATGTGAGCTGAATTTTTAGAGTGCTTGGAAGGATGAAAGGAATGTTGTCTGTCAAGCTGTTATGGTTGTATATGTGTGTGTGTGTGTGTTTATATATATATATACAAATAATTTCAAGCTGATCTTTTCCAGGTCTAAGCAATTTGAGGAGGTGGAAACTACTGTCCTAGGACTGAACAGTAATTATGATGAGGCAACCAGCAACGTTTCTTCTGGCTCACCAAAGACTCAAGTGAATGGAAGTGGAGAGTCCAGAAGCAAGCGGACCATTCGCAGGCCTGCTTACTGGTTGGAAATGAGAGGCATAAAAAACAGCATTAACAAATCTTCACCAAAAAAAGGTACTCGTCACTCTTTGCTCAATGCGAAATTGGTTTTCTCTTCAGTTCTTTTGTGAGAGATTTGATGATTTCTGAAAGACATGCTGCAGTTCAGCCACAAATTACAAGCTTGGTAATGATGCTTATGTGTTAGGAGAGACAAACTTCCTCTGTTGCAGAAACACAGGTAAAATTCTCTGCTGTTATGCAATTCCTTTTGAGTGACTTGTCTCTTAAAAGTAATGATTCTGTGACTGATCTCAGTTTTATCTGTAGAAGAGAGAATGTGTAGGGGTTCTGTCAATTGTTTCAGGAATATGCTGTGAGAACTTTAATAATAGAACAAAGCAACACTAAAATGTACGGAAGTGGACCATTCAGCAGTATTCTGAGTTAAACATGTTTTTTGTGGCTGTTAGATTTTTTTTTTTTCTTATTTAGATGTTTTTCTTTGGTTTGTTTTCCCACTTTTGTTACTTAAGATTTTTCTGATGCGGATTGGATGGGATCTTATGTTGTTCTAGGGATATTCAGATTTCCTGGCTTCAGAACTGTATCTCAAACTTCCCTTGTGGCTTTTCATTCTGTAATGCATCTTTTTTCCTTTCTCTAAATCAAAATCTGTATTCCATCCCATTGCAGAGAGGGCCAAATTTGGTAGCTTGATAGAGGTGGCGTCACTGCAGCTTCATGCCCTCAGGCCCAACCAGTAACAAGGAAGCATATAATCCCATAGGTGCGAACACATATACAACATATGTATGTATCTACAGCCAGCCACACAGATAAATACAAACATACATGCTCAAGCACTCTTGCAAACAGCAGCAATGGCATCCATCCTGTTTCCCTCTCTGGCTGATCAGGATGAAGATATGTTAATGATTGGGGAAAAAACGTTTATATATACATATATGTATAAAACATATTATCTCTGTGGATCCCTCCTGTAGCTGGACTTAGGCACTCTGTTTCACAGAATCATAGAACGGCTTGGGTTGGAAGGGACATTAAAGATCACCTTGTTCCGACCTCCCTGCCATGGACAGGGATGCTTTCCACTAGACCATGTTTCCCGAAGTTCCATCCACACTGGCCTTAAACACTTCTGGGTATGGGGCATCCACAACTTCTCTGGGCAACCTGTTCCAGTGCCTCACCACACTCAGAGTAAAGAATTCCTTCCTTATATCTGACGTAAATCTACCCTCTTTTAATTTAAAGCCTTGATTCCTTGTCCTATCACTACACTGCCTGATAAAGAGTCCCTCCCCAGCTTTCCTGTAGCCCCCCTTTAGGTACTGGAAGACTGCTGCTTCTGGTCTCCCTATTGCCTTCTCTTCTCCAGGCTGAACAACCCCAACTCCCTCAGCCTGTCTTTTTAGGAGAGGTGCTCCATCCCCTTGATAAACTTTGTGGCCCTCCTCTGCACTTGTTCCAGTAGCTGTATGTCATTCTACTGAGGGCTCCAGAGCTGAACGCATTATTTCAGGTGTGGTCTCACAAGAGCAGAATAGAAGGGGAGAATCACGTCCCTTGCCCTGCTGGCCGTACTTCTTTCTGGTGCAGCCCAGGATATGGTTGGCTTTCTGGGCTGCAAGTGCACATTGCTGGCTCATGTTGAGCTTCTTGTCAACCAACACACCCTAAGTCCTACTCAGAGCTGCTCTCAATCCATTCTCCATCCAGACTTGTATTTCTGCTTGGGATTGCCTCAGCCCAGATGCAGGACCCTGCACTTGACCTTGTTGAACCTCCTGAGGTTTGCATAGGCCCACCTCTCAAGCCTGTCCAGGTCCCGCTGGATGGCATCCCTTCCCTCCAGCATGTTGACCGTGCCACACAGCTTGATGTTATCAGCGAACTTGGTGAGGGCCCACTCGACTTCACTGTCCATGTCACCGACAAAGATATTAAAATAGTTTTGGTGCCAATACTGACCACTGAGGAACACCGCATGTTACTGATCTCCACTTGGACATTGAGCTATAGGCCACAGCTCTTTGAGTCAGACCTTCCAGCCAATTCCTTACCTACCGAGTGGGCCATCCATCAAATCCATCTTTCCAATTTAGAGACAATGATGTTGTGTGGGACAGCGTCAAGTGGTTTACACAAATCCAGTTAAATGACATCAGTTTCTTTTTGTTTATCTACCAGTGCTGTGACCCCATCTTAGATTTGTCAGGTGAGATCTGCCCTTAGTGAAGCCATGTTGGCTGTCACCAACCACCTCCTTATTTCTGATGTGCTTTAACAGAGTTTCCAGGAGGATTTGCTCCATGACTTTGCCAGGCACAAAGGTGAGACTGACCTGTAGTTCCCCAGGTCTTCCTTTTTTCCATTTTAAAAAATGGGGGTTATGTTTCCCTTCTTCCAGTCAGTGGAACTTCACTGGACTACCATGACTTCTCAAATATGATGGACAGTAGCTTAGCAACTACATCTGCCAGTTCCTTCAGGACCAATGGATATATCTCATCAGGTCCCATGGACTTTTGTGCCTTCAGGTTCCTTAGCTGGTCTCAAACGTGATCTTCTCCTACATTGGGCATTATTCTTCCAGTCCCTGCTTTTGCCTTCTGGGGCATGGGCTATGTGGCTGGAGCTCTTGCAGGTGAAGACTGAGGCAAAAAAAAGTCATTGAGCACCTCAGCCTTCTCCACATTCCAGGTGACCAGGTCATCTGGGGGCGTTCAAGGAAAGTTTGGACCTGGTGCCTTTTCCATCCTTAATGGCTCTATGACCTGTTTCCTTTTGAAGAGGGCCCACAATTTCCATAGTCTTCCTTTTATCACCAATGTACCTATAGAACCCTTTCTTGTTGCCTTTGATGTCCCTGGACAAATATAAATCTAACAGGGCTTTGGCTTTCCTAACCTGATCCCTGTCTCCTCGGACAATGTCTCTGTATTCCTCCCAGTCTGTCTTTCCTTGCTTCCACTCTCTGTAGTCCTTCTTTTTCTGTTTAAGTTTGGCCAGTTCATCCATGCAGACCTCCTGGCATTTTTCATGGAATCACAGAATGGCTTGGGTTGGAAGGGAGCTTAAAGATCGCTTAGTTCCAACCCCCCTGCCATGGGCAGTGAGGCCCATGACCTCATTGAGGAATGGGGCATCCACAACCTCTCTGGGCAAATTGTTCCAGTGCGTCATCACTCCGAGTGAAAAATTTCCTGCTAACGTCTAGTCTAAATCTCTTCTCTTGTATTTTAAACCATCCCCCCCTTGTCTTGTCATTATCTGACCGAGCAAAATGTTGCTCCCCATCTTTTTTATAAGCCCCCATTAAGTATTGAAAAGTTGCAGTGAGGTCTCCCCAGAGTCTTCTCCGGGCTGAACATCTGCACTCTCTCAGCCTTTTCCTCATAGGACAGGTGCTCCAGCCCCCTGATAATGTTGTGGCCCTCCTCCAGACCCACCTCCTTCTTGTGCTGTGTGTCCCAGACCTGGACGCAGTACTCCAAGTGAGGCCTCACAAGGGCAGACTAGAGGGGGACAATCACTTCCTTTGACCTGCTGGCCATTCCTCTGTTGATGCAGCCCAAGATGCAGTTGGCATTCTGGGCTGTAAGCGCATGATGCTGGCTCATGTCAGGCTTTTTGTCCTTCAGAACCCCCAGGTTTTGGCCCAACTAATTCTCTGTTGGAATGCATCACTCCTGAGCTTCGAGGGGGTGATCCTTGAATATTAACCAGCTTTCTTGGGCCCTTCTTCCCTCCAGGGCCTTGTCACATGGTACCCTACCAAGCAGATCCCTGGAGAGGCCAAAGTCTGCTCTCCTGAAGTCCAGGGTAGTGAGCTTGCTGTGCTCCTTCCTTACTACCTCTGAATCCAAAACTGCACCATTTCATGGTCACTGCATCTAAAGCTGCCCTTGAGTTTCATATTCCCCACCACTTCCTCCTTGTTGGTGAGAATGAGATCCGGCATAGCACCTCTGCCTATTGGCTCCTCTATCGCTTGGAAAAGGAAGTTATCACCAGTGCATTGCAGGAACCTGCTGGATTGCCTATGCCCTACTGTGTTGTCCCTCCAACAGATGTCGAGGTGTTTAAAGACCCCCGTGAGAACCAGGGCTTGTGAATGTGGGGCTGCTTCTATCTGTCTATAGAGGACCTCATCTGCTTGGTCTTCTTGATCGTGTGATCTGTAGCACACTCCCACTATAATGTCTTCCATCCCTGCTTGCCCTGTAATCCTTACCCATAAACTGTCAGCTCATTTGCCCCCAGGTGGAGCTCCATACACTCCAGCTGCTGATTGACATAGAGGGCTACACCTCCTCCTCACCTCCCCTGCCTGTCCTTCCTAAACAGTCTGTATCCTTCCATTCCAACATTCCAGTCACAGGAGCCATCTCACCACTTCTCAATAATGCCAGTGAGATTATAGCTCTGCAGGCATGTATATATCTCTTAATTTGTCATGTTTATTCCCCATGCTGCATGTGTTAATGTAGAGATACTTAAGTTTACTCAGTAGCTGGCCTCTGCATCTTGGTCTTCTCAGTTGCTGGTACATGAACACACTGTTGCCTGAAGCCCACAGAGCCACTCCAGTTGCTGGTGTAGACCTCCTTACAGACAGGATCAGAATCTACTGTCTGCCAGTTGTCTGGGATTTCCCTCGTCCCTCTGGTAGCCTATTTCCACTGTGATCTTGTGCTTCTGCCCTGCCACACACACACACACGCTCACAAACTCTCTCTTCAGTTGGTGGCACCACAGACACGCTGGCCCATGTGACCTGTGGTGTCACTTTAGTTGCTGCCATGTAGACCTCTCTGCAGACACTTAGGAACACATGCATACAGAATACAGAGTCCCTCAGAGTCTAGCACCCAGAAACTGCTCATTCACTGCAAGGCATGGACAGATTTATATGCTGACCAACCGCATGTTTACAAGCAGGTGCTCCTTTTTAACCTCTTATTCCTGTTTTCCCACATCATTCCCTCCCCTTCCCTGTCTTTGATAATGCCCCTAAACATCCTCCGATGTCATGTGTAATACTTATATGGTCTTCCTTTGCATTCCATGTGTCCCATAATCCTAGGCATTAAAACCACACTCACCACCACCCCAGTCTACCTCATCTTGGTGGTTTTTAAACCTCAGCAGTGGGGCTGGTGGATCTCCTGGGATAAACCTGGGAGGAAGTTGTCTGTTTCTCTGAATCCCCAGTTTGGATTCCCCTGCTTGCCATTGTACTTACCTGTGCTCATGGAGAGATGTGGGACTCTGTATTCTGTGTGCAAAGGGAGGTCTGAGTGATGCCAACGTTTCAGGTATTCGGTAGCCTAGGAAATAGTGAGGGTAGACAGGACGTTATTCACGTTTCCCCACTCGCTATTGTCTCTCCGTTCGCCTTTTTATATGTGTAGTTGAGCTTTTTATGATATAACCTAGCACCTTCTGTTTCTCTCTTCCTGAGGAGTACAATTTCCCCAAACCATGCTATGGCACCATTTCTTCCATGTCCTCTGTATTGGAGGATTGCAGGTCATGCAGTGCCTAACGTTCTTCTGTCGGAAGGCTATATCTAGCTCACTGATGTCCAAGTGCCTCACAAAAACTATTTTTTTCTTCAGAAGTATTGAATGTGAGGAGAAACTAAGGCAACAGACAGACACAAAACTGTTATCCAGGCTGAGTCTTAATAAGACTGAAGCATTTCTATTCTTGCTTGTTAGCAGGAGAAGTGCTTTTGAAAGGCAAGAGGAAATCTGAGCAAGGGGAAGGTGAAGATCTTAAAGACTCTCCTAAGAAGAAGCAGAAGATTTCTGGTAATATAAATAACTGTAATTCTTAGTAACAGACCTTCAGGTACTTCAGACTTCCTTTCTGCGCAAATGCTATCCTCTGATATCCTCCAACTCTATTTCTGATTCTGTGTATATTGTAGGATACTGATGAGTAGTGTCTGTTTTACGATGGTTGATGATTATTCTGATTTCAGTCTCTTAAAGTCCATCAGAGGGTGGAAAAAAGTAGGAAGTAGGGGAAGAACAGTCTATGGATGTTAATCAGTGGTTAATTGCAAAAGGAAGCCTACAAGAGGTGGAAGTAGGAGTATGTAACACAAGATAAGTATAGGGTTGCTCTCTAATCTTTCGGGGATGATATTATGAAAGCCAAGGCCAACCTTGAATGTGGGAAAGGATGTGAAAGGAAAAAAAAAGTTTCTACAAGTAAAGTAGGTAAAACGTGGGTGTGCTGCTGAATATATCTGGTTATATGTACAGAATGGGGGGTGAGAGTCTGGAGAGTAGCCCCATGGAGAGGGATCTGGGAGTTCTGATCAATGGCAAATTGTCAACAGTGTGCCCTGTAGCCAGAAGGGCCAGCTGGATCCTGGGGTGCATCAAGCACAGCACTGCAAGCCAGTCAAGGGAAGTGATAGTCCCCCTCTAGTCTGTGCTGATGTAGTCTCACTTCGAGTAGTAGTCTGCAGTTTTTGGCACTATAATACAAAGATATCTAGCTATTAGAGCATGTCCAAATGAGGGCAACAGACATGGTGAAAGGTCTAGAGAAGACACATGAGGAGCAGCTGAAATCACTTGATGTGTTCAGCCTACAGAAGAGACTGAGGAGAGAACTCAGCATGGTCTATAGCTTCCTCAAGGGTGGGGGGAGTAGTGGTGTAGGTGCTGGGCACCAGCAATAGGACCCAAAGGAACAACACAAAGCTGTGTCAGGGGAGGTTCAGGTTGGTTATCAGGAAAAGATTCTTCACTGAGAGGGTGGTTGGTCTCTGGAACAGGCTCCCCAGGGAAGTGGTTGTAGCATCAAGGCTGATGGAGTTCAAGAAGAATTTGAACAACACGCAAACATGTGATTTGATTTTGAGGTGGTCCTTTCTGGAGCCGGAGTTGGACTTGATGGTCCTTCCAACTTGGGTATTATTTGAATAGAGCCATAGAACTGGTGGCAAATGACATGAAAGAGGCATAGGTACTCAGTGACTCCTCTGCTTCAGGCTTTATCAGTTAAACTGTACTTCAGGAATCCCCGGCAACTGAGACCAGATGCAAAGTCTGGAGCTAGGAACCCTTGTCCTCATGGTAGAGGAAGATGAGGTTAGAACACTTAAACTGGATGTACCTAAGTCCCATGGGGCCTGGTCGGTTGTGCTGAGAGATGGCTGATGTCATTCATAGAATTGTAAAGGTTGGAAAAGACCTCCAAGATCATCTGGTCCAACCATCACCCTACCACCAATGTTACCCACTAAACCATGTCCCTAAACACCACGTCCAACCTTTTCTTAAACACCCCCAGGATGGTGACTCCACCACCTCCTTGTGCAACCTGTTCCAATGCCTAACTAGTCTTTCTGAGAAGAAATGTCTCCTATTTTCCATCCTAAACCTCCCCTGGCACAACTTGAGGCCATTCCCTCTAGTTCTATCACTAGTTATCTGTGAGAAGAGATGCTGACACCCAGTTCCCCACATCTTCTTTTCAGGAAGTTGGAGAGAGCAATAAGGTCTCCCCTGAGCCTCCTCCAGACTAAACAACCCCAATTCCCTCAGCCACTCCTCATAGGACTTGGGTTCCAGGCCCTTCTCTGGACATGCGTCAGGGCCTCGATGTCCTTGAAGTGAGGGGCCCAAAACTGAACACAGTATTCGAGGTATGGCCTCCCCTGAGCTGAGTGTAGGGGGACCTCCATGGTCCTGCTGGCTACACTATTCCCGATACAAGGCAAGATGCCATAGGCCTTCTTGGCCACCTGTGCACACTGCAGGCTCATGTTCAGGCAAGCATTGACCAACATCCCCAGATCCTTTTCCTCTATGCAGCTTTGTGAGGCCACTCTTGATTGTCTTTGTAAAGTCATGGTGACTGTAAAAGGTTCCTCAAGACTGGAAGAGAGCAAGTATCATTCCTGTCATCAAGGTCAGAAAGAAGGAAGATCTGGAGAATTGCAGGCCAGTCAGGCTCATCTCAGTTACTGGGAATGTTAAGGAGAGAATCCTTTGGGAAAGCATTGCTAATTGCTTGAAGGATGAGATTGTGATTGGGAGTTATCAGCATGGATTTACAAATTGGAAATCATGATTGATCAATTTGGTAGCCTTCTGTGATGAGAGCACTAAATTAGTGGATGAAGGGAGAGCAGAGGATCTTGTTTACCTTGACTTTAGTAAGACTTTTGTTGCTGTTTCCTACAGCATTCTCATAGGCAAACTAACAAAGTACAGGTTAGGTAAGTGAATGGTGAAGTGGACAGAAAAACAGCTCAAAATCTGGGCCCAAAGAATTGTGATCAGTTACTACTGTTGTACCACAGGATAAATACTGGGGCCAGTACTGTTTAACACTTCAGTTAATTAACTGGACAATGGCACATTTTGTACCCTCTGTGAGTTTGCCACTGATGCAAAACTGGGAGGAGTGGCTCGTAGGCCAGATGGATATGCCATCATTCACAGTGACCTGGACATACTGGAGAATTAAGTAGGGGGGAATCTCATGAGGTTCCACAAGAGGAAGTGCATAGTCCTGCACCTGGGGCGGGAATAAGGTCGTGTACGAGCACATGCCAGGGGCTAAGTGGCTGGAAAGCAGCTCTTTTGAGAGGCACCTTGACATCTTGGTGGACAGTAAACTGGTCTGTGAGCCAGCATATGAGGAGACGCTTAGAGAGCTGGGATTCTGGAGAAGAGAAAGGTCAGTGGTATCTTATCAGTGTGTATAAATACCTGATGGGAGGGAATGAAGAAAAGGGAACCAGACTCTTTTCAGTAGTGCTCACTGAGAGGGCAAGAGTTAATGGACACAAATTAAAACAAAATTTTATTTGAACACACTGAATGTACTTTTTTACTATGAGGCTGTTCAAATACAGGTTGCCCGTAGAGGTTGTAAGGACTTCACCTGTGAAGATACTGAAAACCTGACTGAACATGGTTTTGGGCAACCTATTCTAGCTGAGCCTGCGTGAACATGGGGGTTGGACTGGATGGTCTCATAAGGTCCATTTCAACTTGAACAATCCTGTATTCTGTAAAACAGAAGAATTGAATGATGGGACACAATGTGTTCTAGGTTCAATTCTATTGATTTTGTCGCCAGTATAAAGAATGTGAAATATGTAGACAACAAAAAACGGAGAGAAGATTAAAATTGAAAGTGGTCGTGACATTACAGAAACGTTTTAAAAGTGAATCAAATGTAGTGTGTAAAAGATACTAATTAGAAATTATAGATACTAGTTAGAAATATTAGCACGGATGACAGGCAAAGAAAAATTCTAGATATTGGTTCTTCAGAAAAGAATTCGGGATTTATAAGAGATAAAAAATGAATAGGGACCAACAGTGTCATACTTTTGAAAAATACAAGTGTTATATTGCAGTGTTTGAGCAGGAATTTTGACTTTCAGAAAAATGAAGTAATTATTTTGCTGTAGTGCAGGGTCTCACTTGGGGTGTACTGTTTCCAGCACTGGGCACTTCAGTGCAGGAAATGTGTGGACCAAATGAAGAGAACATAGAAGAGAGCAAAAAAAAAATAACCTATGAAAAAATATAGAAACAATAAGAGTTATTTAGTTTAAAGAAAACAATGAATAGAGGAATGGGACTGTCTGTTTTGTTGCCAACAAATCATTAGATTGGCTTAGCTGTACTCCATACAGAGGGTATGCTTTGGTCTGAAGAGTTCCCATCCTGTAAACCTTGCGTATCAACAGCCACAGATCCCAAGTATCTGGATTAGACTAATGTCTGCAGATGTAAATAGCTATGGGTTTTGAGAGGGAGAAGAGTTATAATATTTAAATTCCTTTATGGATTTTCAAAAAAAAAAAAAAGCATTGAACATGTCTGAGTTGTCTGAACATGTAAGTTTGAGACAGCAGACTGAATAGCAAACTCCTAGTCAAGCTCTCCTTTTTTGAAACATGGCTCATAGAATTTAAGTCTCTTGGTCTTGTTTGTTATAGCAGGAAAAAAACAGCAAGCTGGAGCACAACAAAACTCCAAGACAAAAGGCCACTGTGTTCAGAAAGAACCAGAAGCCTATGGCACAGGTAAGAAGGAGTAGTTGCTTGGAATTGTTTATAAAGTGGGTAAGAGATAAGTGTAATTCTATCAGTTGAGTCTGTGTAACATCTGTGTTTCTGATGTTTCCATTTTGGTGTTCAATTTGCTGTTGACATGAAAGAAGTTGCTGCTATCTCGCTGAAATATCGCACAGTGGTATTGGAGGGACTGCCTGCAGCCTGATAAAATAGTTTTGTATGGCTTAACCCTAAAAACATGGGATAATGGGACAGTAATGGAGGAATCATTTTTGAACTAAGAATTTTGTTTAAATAATTTCAGTGCAAAACTCATAAAAAATATTTGCACTTTTTTATTCAGCAGAATGTGTTTGCAGGAAAAACTTCAGCTGTTGCTGCCATATCACTTCTTCTGGTAGCCAGAGACAGAAGAAGTCTGTCCTAGAAAAACAACACTAACATTTACTCATCAAGTGTATGTGTAGCTCACAGCACTCATTAACTACGCAGTTTCCTGCCAAGTACTGTTTGACTTGCAGACTTTTCTGCTAACCACTGAGGAGAGACAAACCCTTCCTGTTTATTCCTGGGCAAACAGAAAAGCTTTTAGATATTTTTATGGTAAGAATTCAGCTAATTGTCTTATAGACCACTTTTTTCCCAGAACACGTTTCAGTAATTTGTAATCCCTTTGGCTGAAATGAGTGCTTGACATTTCAAAAAGAGAGCAGGAACTGAAAGCCATATCTCACAGGGTACTTTCCCCTGGCCATTGAGTGTGGTGGTGCTTGGTGTGGTGGCGCAGCTCTGTTCACTTTTAGCGCCAAAACCATAGTCTAATGCAAGTAAAGTTCTAAACGTTTATTTAGTAGAATTGAATCATGGATTTTGTTCCAGAATGGTTCAGTCACATCTGTGCCTACTTTTGTCAAAAGCCTTTTGCCAAAGGAAGAGTTTACCATGCATGTGAAAGTAATTGTGTAATAAAAATAAATGAAGGAAAAATCTCTGCTGAACAAACAAGTCTCTTCATAAGAGGGTGATAGCATTAGGAGTTTTTATCAATTGATATTCCAAAAAGAGAGACGTATGCCTTGTCACACATGACACATTTAAAGCTGCAAATGAGCTAAAACTATTGAAGTGTAGGACACAAGTTTGGTAGCATGTGATTCATTTCGTTCTAGGATACATTATGCATACTGACGAAAAAATGATTTTGCATTTGCCGTTTTATTGTAAATCCTTTGTTTTTACAGGTAGTATGGAAGAGCAGTGGTCCTTGGAAATTCAGGACAAAGGTCGAGTTACCTGTCCAACATGCCGGGCTGTAGTTAGAAAGACTGTAGAAGGACTGAAGAAGCATATGTTAAATTGCAGGCAGGTGAGGACAAGATAAATGTTTTCTGAATTCTCTTCATATTACTGGTAGAAATGCCTGTGCATTGTTTTGTGTTGCATTTTAAACCAGTTTAATCCTAAGCAAGAGCCTTTTATACATCTCTAAGAAGCTGCAGGTGGTGCTTCTTGCTCACCATGTTGGAGTTTTATGGTAGTGAATAGAGGCATACCTATTTCATTGTTCCCCTAAATTTTAGTTTCTGTAAAATCTGTTCTATTCATAATGGGCAATTACCAGGCCCGAATAAAATGTTCTGCTCTTGTGCTCCTTTCTCCCAGAGACTTTCCCACTGCTTTGGTTAATTTGCGGTTACACGTACCATGTCCTTGTTTATTTGTAGGAAATGTTCACGTGTCATCACTGTGGGAAGCAGCTGAAGTCTTTAGGAGGGATGAAATACCATGTCATGGCAGACCATAACAATCAGGTAATGCGACTGCTCTGCATATGAAGGTCTTACAGGCAAGATGGTCTTTTATTCCTTCCCTGCCACACACAGAAATAGAATATTTTGTGTTTTTGCAAATGTTGTAGGTGCTCAATTCTCATTTACCTGTTATCATTCTTTAAAGATTGGAGATCTGGAAAAACTGTAGTGGTACCAGAAAAGATAGTAATGCTGCATCTTAGAAAGAAGAGATTAATTTCCGTCTAGGCTGGTTATATGTCACACACAAAAGGTATTCTAAATCAGAAAAAGTTCATTGCTCATTAGACTTCACTTTTCAGTCTTTTGCTATAAAGTGGCAGTTTTTCTGCATCCAGAGCAGACCAGACCAGATTTTAGTTCTTTACCAAGTTCAAAGGTAAAAAAGCAGAAAAAGCTATTTAGTTCTTGCCTATTTGCTGTGAAGTTACAGATGCTGCAGTCTGGTTTTCTTCTTTGCTCTTACTTTAAAGAAACATTATAACTTTTGGAAAAATTATTCAGAAGTTTGGGTAAGATTTAGAAAATTCATTACTGTTATATTTACATAGTTACCAGTACTGTGGTTTCTGAAGCTACAGCTGTACTAGTAAATGAAAGACAGCAGGTATCGTGTTCTGGTCCTGAGGAATAGGTCTGTCACCAGTTTTAACTTTTTTTGTTTTTAACTTTTTTAGTCAATCTAGATGTAATATTTAGTATAAGGTAAAATAGGAAGTAATATGTAATAACCACTGAAGAAAGAATAGAGAAGAACTTTAGCTGTAGTTTATCATAGATGAATTACTGTTACAGCAGGTAGTCTGCTTAGCTATAACCTAAGTGGAAATGGTAGAACGAGTAAACATTAAAGATGCAGGCTAGAGGTGAGTCAATACTTTACACAGGCAGAAGGGGAGAAAAGTAATTATAGAAATACAAGACCGTGTCCTTACCAGCAACTCTAGTTTGAGACCATGTCTTTTCAAGGCTTTGTTCATACATAGCTATCTGCAAAGTGGTTTTCAGACAGTTTACTCCTCTTAAAGATAATTCACATTTTCTGGGTTATAGACAGGGATCATGGTATTAAATACACTTCTGTAAAATCACAAGTTGCAGGGATTTAATTATTTTAAAAGCTTTCCTTCGGTATAAATGCTGAGCATGCTGTATTTTTCATTCATCCTTCTGCTGTGCTTTAGCCAGTTGTGAAGGAGGGAGGAGAACTGGATGAACAGCTTGAACGAGACCGTCTTCGGAAGGTTTTGAAGCGTATGGGAAAACTAAAGTGTACAAGGGAGGTAAGCTGCATTGTCAAAATATCTTAAGTTGGACAGCATCAGATGCGTGAATATACAATGTTATGAAAGTTCTGCCGGATAAGCTTTTGATGATGGTAAAAGATGTCTTTGTTTCAAGATCCTAGTTAATGTTTTTAAGACACAAGAGACTTTGGAGGGATGATGCATTACCAGGAAAGCAACAGGAAGGAATTTGCTCCATGTGTTTCTCCTTCTACGTTGACAGGGCTGCACAGGCAGCTTCACAAGCATAATGGGATACCTATATCATGTTAAAAAATGTGGGAAGGCTGCTTCTGAGCTGGAGAAAATGGCGATGAAGTGCCATCATTGTGGGAAAGCATACAAATCAAAGGCAGGTCTTGTCTACCATCTCCGATCTAAGCATGGGCCGGTAAGTACAAATTACCATAGCCATGAGGATAGCATTGTGGTAATTCAGACCATTCATACTTCAGACTCATGTAGGCTTCTGTCTGCTTCTTGGGTGGATAATTAGAGATAGCAAATCTCCACATTTTCCTGTATCTCCATAGTATTCTGTCCTTGTTCCCTTGTAACTGGGATGAAGTTTTTAATAGTAAGTCTCTATGTCAGCAGTAAACTTGGCAGCCTGACTTTTGGTCCATGGAAGAATGATGCTAACATGTTGTTGTGGGTTAACCCATATAGCTGCTCACTCACCCACCCCTGCCGGGTTGGGGAAGAAAATCAGAACAGTAAAAGTGAGAAAACTCATGGATTGAGATAAAGACAATTTAATAGGTAAAGAAAAAGTTATGTGCACAAGCAAAAACAAACACAGAATTCATTCACTATTCCCCACCAGTAGTCAGGTGTTTAGTCATTTCCAGGAAAGCAGAGCTTCATATGTAATGATTACTTGAGAATACAAATGCCATAGCTCTAAACGCTCCCCCCACCCACCCTTTCTTCCTTCTCTCCCCAGCTTTTTTTGCTGAGCATGACATCACATGGTACAGAATATCTCTTTATTCAGTTGGGGTCAGCTGCCCTGGCTGTTTCCCCCCCATGCTGCTTGTGTGCCCCCAGCCTACTCACTGGTGGGGTAGTGTGAGAAACAAAATATCTTAATGCTGTGTAAGTACAGTTTAGCAATATCTAAAACATTAGTGTGTTATCAACACACTAATGCTTTAGTCACAAATCCAAAATAGAGTACCATATAAGCTACTCTGAATATAATTAGATCTATCCCAACCAAAACCAATGCACATGTAACTTTTGATAGCTTCCTATTATGCTGTTCTTTGCTCTTAGAAGATCCGTCACTGAAGCAAGCAGAACAGGCAATACCATGCTTATCCATACAAATTTTACAGTGAAAGATGTGTTACCCTTTCAAGACCAGTGGCTGCATGAAACTTTCTACTTCAACCTTACTACTGTGTCCCTGTGTAGATCTTGGGGTCTGTCTTGGCAGTGGGATGCACTCCTGTCAATGAACCACAGCTGCTTCAGCATAGTTTTTGTTTTTTTTTTTTGTTTGGTTGGTTTTTGTTTTGTTTTGTTTTTGAGGGATTTGGCAGAGTAATTCATAATACTTACTGAAGTTGAAACAGGAACTGGTGAATGAGGCTCACCTTTTTTGGCCCTCACTGCAGGTCACTTTCTTCCATGAGGAGAGAAGAACAGAAAGCCTGAAGGAAATAAAACGGGAGCCAAATAATACAGGGAGAGTTCAGAGGAGATCTGCAAAGGTGGCGATCTACTATCTCCACGAGCTAGCTGGAGAAGAGCTGGCCAAAGAGTGGCCCAAGAGAAAAGTGCTGCAGGACTTGATTCCAGATGATCGGAAGGTACAGGGCCTTAAAAACACTGCAGGGTTTGAGTCTTTCTGCCTATCAGATGAGTCTTGCACTGGTATCTACCCAGAGTTGCCACTGTTTAATGGCCCATAGAAATTAACATTGAAGAAGAGGTCTTCTTGTGGAAGAGGTCAGGTTTTGCCCTCTCTGATCTTAGGTTATGGTATTGCTACTTCAGCAATTGTTGTGGTATAGGTATTTTATCCAGGTAGGTTTTAATGACTTTAAAGTCCTATTGCTATAGGAGCTGTAATTTGCAATGGCCACAAGCAGTGAAAGCAGTTGTAGGCAGCATGTTGCTCACAAATCAGAGGCTGCAAATTGCTGCCACCATGCAGTGGTATTTCATAGCTTGTCAGGCTTCACGCAGTCTCCAGGAGCAACCCTTAGGCTGTAAGGGGAACCCAAGGGGAAAGGATGATTCATAATTTTAATGGGGTAAGTACATTTGGAGGAATTGTAGTCAAAGGTGTGGGAAGTTTTGCGTTCTGGTATCGTAGGGGATTTCCAGATTCATTTATGCTTTTAGAAGCAGTAGGATGGGAAAAGATTGGTTATTGAGAATTTGTTAGAATAGGAAAAGAAATAGCACTCCTGTCGGAAAAATTGGGAGAGAAAGGAATGTGCTTGTCACAATGCGTAACTTGCATTGCTTCCAGCTTTTGATTCCATTTCTTCATCTCAGCTGAAATATACTCGTCCTGGACTGCCCACATTTAGTCAAGATGTGTTGTGCAAATGGAAAACAGAGATAAAGATGTACCGAAGAGTCCACTGTCCAAATCAGGTAATCCTTAAGTCTTTCTGAAGTCTCAAAGAGGGCAGATGTCAGGTCTGTATGAGCCGACAGCTTTCCACAGCAGTTTGTCTCTCTGTGGGAGACAACTTCTGCTTCATCTCAGTATGGTCAGTTAGTGTTTATACTGTTGCCTGAGGGATGAACCCTTTGGGGATGTTTGTCCCCTTCAGACCTGGTACCTTTGTTTCAGACTAATGCAGCTTGCACATCCAGCTAGGTGCTGGTCCATTTGAAGGTGTGACTAAGCAGTGGAAAAATGACAAGCTCCTGCTGTTGAGTAGATGTGCTAAATCTTAATTATAAAGGAATGAATGGAGAAGTAGAGAGAAAAATTTGAGAATAAAGGAACTTTGGCACAGCACTTTAGTTTTACCTTAAAAGCTTGAAATGGGCTATGAAGGACGCATGCATGGCATCCTGGTCAAGGGTTGCTTATGCATGTGCACATAGTTTCTTACAATCCTGTGCAGTGGTCACCAGTCAGATTCAGTGAGAAGAAATGGCCACATTGGTAGAAACTAGTAGTGCACATGATGCATACTGCTAGATAGTCAAGGGTCAGTAATGGCTTTCATCTGGGTTTGATATAGAAACAAGGACTTATCCCGTCCTTATCCCACTCTCAGATCTCCCTCCCCAGTTTTCAGGCTTGTGCCATTTCCAAGTATAAGAATTGCAGCATGATGTTTTATATGGAGCTGACCCCAGAAAGCAGCTGTTCTAGTTTACTGACCAGTAACCCAGAAGCATGTCTTGCACCTAACCTTCTGTTTCAGATTGTGGGCTGCTGGCTGCGCAAGTTCTAGTACCCTGAGACCGGTACCTAACCCACATGGGTTAGGCCCTTAAAGTTGCCCTTTAACTGGGACTATTGATGTTAGATACAGTACTTCTGTTTTATGCCACTAGATACAAGATCAGGGCAGGAGAGATTGTGGAGTCTTGCAGTTGCCCCTGTACTTTGTTCAAATGAATCTTTGCGGCCTTTTAGGCAAAATGCAAACTCTATGATTTTACTCAGGCATTAGATAGAGAGTGATTGTAACTGGTACAGAAGTCGGTTTATTATGTCTGAACATGCTCAAACTGGAAACATTTAACTTACTGAAATCTCAAATCCCTTTTGAAGATCTTATTTACGAGAAGCTTTCTTCTCTTTATGACTTGTCTTCCTTCCTCTACTTCTCTCAGCTCTTTGGGAATTTTGTTCCAGAGAGTTTTTGTTTTTTTATACAGGAAGAAGTGATTTCTAAATAGAGTTTTGCTGATGCTGATACAGGCATCTAATTTTTTTTTTTTTTCCGTTTCAGGGTTGTGAATCTGTATACGGCAGTGTCTCAGGACTCAAATCTCATCTTGGCACATGTACCTTGGTTGGTAGCATTCCTGTACTTGTCTTTTTTTTAACATCCTGACTGTGTCTGTCCATCAGATAATCTTGTTCGAGCTGTTGTCCTGCCATCTAATCTCAATTCCTTACAATTTCAGTGCTTCCATATGTGCTAATGGGGTTGCCGTTGCAAACACTGTTTGAAGGAAGGAGGGAGCATCTTAATGGCATGCATTTTAGTGAAGTTGCAGCCCTACCTGTACTTTCATAGCTATAAGAGCATTTTTCCAAATACAGTGCTCGAGACCTTATAATATCTCACAGGGCAGTTCTATGTTTTGTGAGTATAACTGGTCAATAATGTCAGTACTCCTGTAGATAAAGCATAGTCTAGTACAACTAAGAGACTTTACTTCTTACTGCTGAGCAAAACTGAAGCACAATATATAGGTGTATCAGCCTCCTAAGCAGCAATTGGTGATGTATTCTTTTTTTTGTTTGTTTTGTTGCCAGGGAGATTTTGTGGCTGGCAAATACAAGTGTCTCTTGTGTGACAAAGAATTCGTTTCAGAGAGTGGGGTCAAGTATCACATCAACTCTGTGCATGCTGAGGTAAGGCAGGCAGAATTGAAGTCCTCAAACCTGTTTGTTGAAGGTGAAGAGGGTGTCTTGGGAAATGCTAGGTGCCTGCTCTATTACATTCTTTCCTTGTTTACTGTTGGAAACAGGGTCTTGGGTTCAAGTGGCATTTAATATGCTTAAACATAGCTGTTATGCACTGGTCTGGGGAGCAAATGTGGTGTCATATCACAGGTCTCGTCCCAAGCTGCTGCTGTTCAATTTAGCAGCTTTTCAGCATTTTCCCTGCCTTTAGTCAGCCAATTGCTAAATCAAATCTGACACCTCAGGAAGAACTTAAAAGAACAGAGACTTGTCTTAGTTGTTTGCTTTTCCAGATCTCACATTTCAACAAACCCTTGTCCCACAGAGGCACCTTTATTACAAACTCTGATAGTCTTGGTATGTTGTTTCCACCATCAGTACCAACTTGTTGCCTTCTAACCCTCCAGGATTGGTTTGATGTGAACACAAGTACCACCAAAAGCTTTGAGAAGCTAATGAAAATCCGCCAAAGAGAAGAGCAGAGGAAGCAACGGAAGAAACATCCTTTGACCCGGGGCAAAAAGAAGAGAACTGGGTCCCTGGCTGCCAAGAAGCTCTCCAGCGCTGGAGCTGAGAAAACGAGGAGAAGTAAGAGAGGTCGTCCACAGCGGGTAGACAACGAGAGCGAGAGTAGCGAGGAGGGGGAGCCCCAAGTTGCACAGAGATCCAAATTTCCAAAATCCAGCCACAAGCGAGGCCGAAAATAAATCCCTGGAAGAAGGGAAGGAGTAATCCTAAAGCTTTTCAGTTACAAGCCCCACTTCTGTCAGTCTCATAACCCACAGCACTAATATAAGCAACTGAATGCCTTTGGAACTGTGATTTCATTCCGCTCTGTGACCTAGATTTTGAAACTGTTGAATCTGGTCAGTTGTGAGAAACTATGAACCAAAGCTGTGGTACAGAGGCAACCTCTCCTGGTGTAGTTCCCGTAAACAGTGGGACTAGCATTGTACCCAGTGTGGATTTTGCTCTGGTTGCAGTCTCAGTTTGGGTCACATTAGTTAATTGTTTAATGGTTTCCAGCACAGCAGCTGTTTTTTCTTCTTCCTGATTGGTGAGACCAGGGTTCTTTCTAAGCAATTCTCCCTATAAGAGTCTGACTAGCACAGTGTTTAGGTCCCTTTAAGGGAGGAACCTTTCTTGCACAGTATGCACAAAAAACTAAGCAGCACCATGCAGAACACAAAGGCTTCAGTTTGCCCTTTAGCTGTCCTATCTGTTGTCAGCAAGGATACCACAGAAGAGGAAATACCTTACTGCTCCAGTCTGTCGCGCACAGCACTGTCTGTAATTCATACACTGATGTCTAGGCTTGGCACCAAACAGTAGCATTATGAGCTTTGATCTGCTTGGAAGTGATGGGACATCATTATCTCCCTTGTCAGGAACCTGATATTCCCCTGGTATCTGTCTTCTTTAGTACTGTACATTGAATGTATAAGGAAGGTCTTCCCACCCAGTGCAGAATAAATACTCTCCAGCCTTTTGGAGATTCATTGGCCTTCTGGAGACCACCTGACAGTGTAAAATGATGGCCTATGTGGGTCTTCTGAAGACAGCTTGTTTCAGGCTCAACTGGGAAACAAACTTGCTGCAAGATGGTGCATATCTACAGTTGCAGTGTCGGTAATGCTACAGCCTGGAATCCACTGAACTGCCTTGCACCAGTGTGTTGTTCTTTGTCATGCCCACACTCCCATAGCATCCTTTTCTCTGCAAGTGAGCACTGTAGATGTCTTCTTTATCTTACATCACCTGTTTCTTTTCAATACTGCTTCCTTTATATGGATAAGGTATATTAGCAGTGGCTTTCCAGTGTGGAAAAGGTCAAAAGAGGGTTCATTTTTTGTAAAGTCACATGATGGTATGATCTCTGAGTCATAGGGAATATCTTCCTGTGCTCCAGAGATGAAACAGGTGTTACAGAAATAGTAAGAAGCAGCACAAACAATGCTACTCCATCTTTTGACAGAATATGTTCTCCAGAATCTGTTATCCAAAGATCCACTATCCCAGAAAGCTGTAAAACCTTTTCCTTGTAGTTTTGCAGGCAAGAAAATAGGCTACATGTTGCCTCCCTTTGAATTTTTCCTGTTTACCAAAATCTGACACTGAAATTCACAGGGAAGCTATTGCAGTGCCTGGTGAACAGGCAGGTTTATATGTATGTGTTATTACCAGAATCATACAACCCTGATGATGGGAAACACTGTATGGCCAGGGTGTTTTCAAGAGCTGCCTCTTCCATGTAATAAGCAAAGCATTCAGGAAGTAGTAAGACAGCATGCAGTGCTCTACTGTGATTTACATACAGTAGTTACACACTGCCTTTTGGAAACAGTTATCAGTCACCATGTGTGCAGTGCTGCACTCAAAAGTATAAATATGTGGACTTCTGTACAGGGTGTACAAGGCTTGGAGCAAGAGGGGCAAGATCAGAAGATGACGAAATAAAACATTACCAGTGTGAGAAAGTGTTTTCTTGTTTGGTTTGTGGTGTTCTTGGCACCATCCCTACTTACACAACACACCCCAGCCTGCCCACTTGGTTGTCATGCATGCTCACTAGTGCTGTTCAGTTCTGTACCCCATTTCTCCTCTGTACTCCATTCTATAGAACTGTACTTTGACCACACGTTTACTACATTACTGCCCAATAAATGGGCAACAAGATAAAACCATGAATTAAAGGAGGTTTTTCTTAGTGGCTGTCAGTCTAGAGTCCTGTTTACTGTCACTGATGAGTTACTAACCAGCCCTGCTTTCTAGATGTGTATACTTCTTCACAAGCTTATGGATTTTGTAGAGTTGCCTCAACAATGCATTCCCTCACATAACATAGCATGTGGGGAAAAAAATAATTATCCAACAGCCCATACATGATCTATCCATACTCAGCTCCATCAGTGCTACAGCCCTTCATTTGCTGGATTGGCTCAAGCTGGTAATAGTTGGTGGCTCTTTGCACCAGCACAATTCCCTGTTTCTGAGGAGTGTGATCTGTGTAGGAGCACTTGCTTCCTACTGTAGGTGGACTAAAGCAGGCTACCCTATATGAGTACAACAGTGTCCTACAGCCTACCATGCTAACGTTTACTGCTTAAGCACTCATGAATCTACTGTTCACTCCTTTGTTAACAGTTCAGTTAGCCTAGCTTTCTGCAAATCCAGGTCAAAAATTCTACACTAGAAAACTTGGTTTTCCTTTTACAAATTCTATTTGAGCAAGTACATGTTTAGAAAGAGATCTAGTTTTAAAGGTACAAAAAAAGTGATAAAAGAGACCAGTTAGTCATTAGATAGTTGTTGCTGTGATTCATTACCCTAAAAATTGTGTGCCTTACTTTATTTGGAATTATTTTTAATTTCAGCCTCTGCATCTCACATTGCTTAATCGTTGTAAATCAAATAGCCTTGCAGTATTGGAATTAACTCCACAAAATTTTCTATATGAGCTGAAGAGATTTCTAGTTTCATTTAAAATAGTTTTTTTTCTCTTTTTTGTTGGTCTTGTCTGTTCTTTGCTGACATTTTATGTATTGAACAGTGTATTTTGGGCTTTTGAAATTCAGAAACAGGAAAGAGAAACCAAGAGATGTAAGTAGTCTGTTTTAAATAGAATACAATAACATTGCTCTGTTCTTAGCTACTTCCCCCCCCCAACTTCTTCATTACGCTGTTTACATTCAGTTGCAATCTTCTCTGCTAAGCATATTTTCAGTTCTAAAATTGGGTTTGATTGTTTGTAGAAATATAGGTTAGCAGGGTTTGTGTTCAAGCAGCACATGATGAACTCATCTGTCTTCTGTAAAACACTGATGTGTCTCACTGAATTACTCTAACAGAGACTGTATTTTTGGTTGAGCCACTCTTGCAGAAAACTTTGTTTTATAATTTATCTTTTCATTGCTTTCATTTGCAATCAGCTTTTTTAACCCACAGATTTTATTTGTAATTGTTTTATATTTTCACTAGCATTGTCAATAAAGCTACAACCCCATGCAGCACTACAGGCTTGGGGCAGAGTGGCTCAAAAGCTGTGCGGAGGAAAAGGATCTGGGGGTGTTGGTCATTGCTTGCATGAACATGAGCCAGCGGTGTGCCCAGGTGGCCAAGAAGGCCAGTAGCGTTCTCTGTAATAGCATGGCTTGTATGAGGAATACTGCAGCCAGCAGGACAAGGGAGGTGATCATCCCCCTATACTCTGCTCTGGGAAGGCTGCACCTCAAGTACTGTGTTCAGTTTTGGGCCCCTCACTTCAAGAAAGACATCCAAGCCCTGGAGTGTGTCCAGAGAAGGGCTACGAAGCTGGTGAAGGGCCTGGAACCCAAATACTATGAGGAGTGGCTGAGGGAACTTTGATTGTTTAGTCTGGAGAAGAGAAGGCTCAGGGGAGACCTTACTGCTCTCTCCAACTCCCTGAACGGAAGGTATGGGGAGCTGGGGGTCGGATTCTTCTCACAGGTGACTAGTGATAGGACAAGAAGGAGTGGCCTCAAGTTGTGCCAGGGAAGGTTTAGGTTGAAAATTAGTAGTCAGGCATTGGAATGGGTTGCCTGGGGGGGGGGGGGGGGGGGTCACTGTCGCTGGGGATGTTTAAGGAAAGGTTGGAGGTTGTGCTTAGGAACATGGTTTAGTGGGTGATATTGGTGGTAGGGTGATGGTTGGACTAGATGATCTTGGAGGTCTTGTCCAGCCTTTATGATGCTATGAAATAGCTGCAGACTCTGGCAATCAGTAGAACAAATCTATATTTACAATTATTTAGTAACTAAGATTTAATATGCTCATCTGATACTTGTGGGGAATACGGGGCCAAAACAATGCCTTGCAGAAATTTAACATGTCAGTAGCTACTTTTACCAACCCAGACTTGTAATTTAATTTAAAAATAATGTTTACAGTAAGCTGTCCTATGTGAAACTTTATCAGTTGGTTTTACTTATGATCTCCTTTAATGTCAACTGTTCTGTTGGTTTGCCTCAGAGATTTCAAACTGATAAGCTGTACTTACACCGACCCCTTGGCTTGCCATTTTTTAAATATTGGCATAATACTGGAATTCTGTTTCATTCCTTTTCCAGAAAAGGGAGAGAATATCTTGTCATGTGTTTTTGTGTGTTTTTTGTTTGTTTGTTTTGTGGGTTTTGTGTGTGTGTGTGTGTGATTTTTTGTTGTTGTTTGATTGGTTTGGTTGTTGTTTTGTTTCATTTGTTTTCCTTAATCCTAAAGTATTTCTTCAGTCTTCCCAGGATTATTAACAGCTATTAATAACACATCAAAGAACTTTTCAGATTTTTTTTATCATTCTCCTTCATCAGTTTTCTAATGCCATATATTTAGACGTTTTTTAAGCTGATTTAATGATGCCAGCATGTCCAAAAAACAAATGGTCAGGGATGGCACCCACCTGATCAGGTTGCTCAGGGCCTCAACCAATCTGATCTTGAACACCTCCAGGGATGTGGCATCCACAGCTTTCCTGGGCAACCTGTCAGCGCCTCACCATCCTCCAAGTGAAAAATTTCCTCCTAACCTCTAATCTAAATCTCCCCTCTTGTATTTTACACCATTCCCCCTTGTACCTGTCATCTGATCGAGCAAAAGCTTGCTGTCCATCTTTTTTATAAGCCCCCGTTAAGTATTAAAAGTTGCAATGAGGTCTCCCCAGAATCTTCTCCAGACTGAACATCCCCAACTCTCTCAGCCTTTCTTCATAGGACAGGTGCTCCAGCTCTCTGATAACTTTGTGGTCCTCCTTCAGACCCACTCTAAAAGATCAACATCCATCTCGTGCTGGGAGCCCCAGACCTGGACGCAGTACTCCAAGTGAGGCCTCACAAGGGCAGACTAGAGGGGGACAATCACTTTCCCTTGACCTGCTGGCCATTCCTCTGTTGATGCAGCCCAAGATGCAGTTGGCCTTTTGGGCTGTAAGTGCATGATGCTGGCTCATGTCAAGCTTTTTGTCAACCAGAACCCCCAAGTCCCTCTCAACAGGGCTGCTCTCAGTTAGTTCCCCTCAGTCTGTACTCACGTCTGGGATTGACCCAAACCCAGGTGCAGAACCTTCCACTTAGACTTGCTGAAGCTTAAGCTTCAGCCTACTTTTGCATACAGCCACTTAAGCCCACTTTTTTTAGCCTGTCCAGGTCCCTTTTGATGTCTAACTTGGATGTTTAACCATACAGCTGCACTGTTGTTGGGAACAGAATCAGGGCCTGGGATCAGATCCTGAAGCAATTTGGACCGCAGTGATTGCAGTGACCTGCATAGTAATTATTTGTCTCTAAGGCTGATGTCAGCCTCGGACAGTGCTTGGTTGTGATCCTAAGAATGAAACTGGCACTAAGCATGATACTGTCTATTTCTCAAAGTGTTGCTTGATCCTGAAGGCCAGCTTTCTTCAAAATTAAGTAGGTCAATTTCATAATTCAAATACAGCAGGATTAAGAGAGATTCGGGGTGGAGAGTATACTCAGCAGCTCTGCTTAGACATTAATTAGTACAGTGTCTCTTTTTATGCATGTTGTATTAGTTCCAAGAACCCATCTGAATTATGCTCAGAAGTTTCCTTAGTCAGAGGCTTTTATTTTTAAAAAGTCATCACACCTCAGAAGTGAGCCCCTTTGCCTTTCTTCAGATGCAGATAAAAACCAGTTAGTTGTTCAGATAAAGGCTTTATTTAACAATGGACTAACCATAAACAGAAAGCCAAGCCTCCTGATTGAGGTGAGACAGGAACAAAAGATTGCAAAAATTATGGGCAATGCTGTCAAGTGTCTTTCCAGCCCCTGCTTGTCATGACCAGGCAGGGCTTTTAGCCTCCTTACGCCCCTTTTGGTTCCCCTAAGTACCAACATGTGATGGATTTTTAAGAGAGAGTAAAATTGTCTTTTTGTGACATTTTTCAGGACTGCAGGGGCTTCTGGCATGAAGTGACTGGGGGGGGGGGGGTAGATATGAACAAGCACTTTGCCAACATCGTGCACTGGCACTGTCTGGAGACATACAGCACTGGGAGGTGTCTAAGTGCCTAGGCATGGCCCTGCCTGCAGATCAGAGCAGGAGCAGATGTTGGGCAGCTCAGGGCAGAGACGACAGATGGTGCACCATGTCATGCAGCCAGCCCAATTCCCACAATTCCTGCATGCACTCCTCCAGTTTGTGTTTGGGCAACCTGCAGCACATGTCCAGGAGCTGCCCCAATTCCTGCTGCGGTGCTGCATTCACCCCATGCACAAGGCCAAGATGCTCCTGTGTGTACTGGATAGCTGCCACAGGGGCTTCTTCCATCAGGCATGCCTGATGCTCCCACACCTGCTGCATCAGGTCTGTGGCCTCCTGCCACATGTACCCCAACTGCTGGGCATGCTGTCCCTGGGTGGCCACCAGTGCCTGATGCAGTGTGCCAAAGCAGGCAGCCTATTCCTTCCACAGCACAAGCACCCCCACAGCCTCTATACTGTAGCGGTTGAGCTTGTCTTCCCTGTGTGGGAGCTGTTCCCACAGGGTGGCCTTTCCTGCATAAACCATTCAAGTAGCTCCTGACACTATGCCTGCAGCCATGACAGTACCTCCTAGTTTGGTTACTGAGTCAGCCCAAGGTGGTTTTGGAAACAGCGGGATGAAATAGCCCATGAAGGTTGGTCTTGAAGGTTGAAGGTAGCCCTTGAAGGTTGACATGGTATCTGGGACCAGAATCTCTTTCTGCCTCTCACTTCAAGGCAATGTCAATATAAAAGCATCTATCCAGACATGGTACTTGGGCAACATCCTCCAGCTGACCCTCCTTAAGCAGGGGATCTGGATTAGATGATCTCAGGAGGTCCCTTCCAACTTCAGTGATTCTGTGATCTTGCACAACCCTCGCTCCAGCATAAGCTTTAGACAGCTCCCACCAAGGGGGAAAAAAAATGACAGGTAGTTGCCATAGGACTTATGTTCCCTTCTGAAGGGAACATAAGGCCCAATATGCAGACTGAACCCACTTCATAGGGAAGTCTGCTGCCTCCCTGGGGCCCAGGTTAGAGGTGTGAAGAGAGCTTCCTTCCCTGGTACAGCCCTCAGATTATCACCCATTATTGATTTTCAGGCAAGCAGCAAAGAAGTTTCAACAGGAAGTCTGAGGGCAATGAAGAGAGTCTTCAGGGTCTTTTGTGATTCCTTGTGTTGCTCTGGGGTACAAGGGATCATTCCTGATGATAGTGGGTATGACTTCCTTGTGCATTAGTATTCCCACACAAAATTTCCTTCCAAGTCTCTGCTTAGAGAACCCACCACCCTTGTTAAAGCTAGTTGAGTCCAACCATGAAACACATTTACTGTGGCTACAATTTACCATTGGGATCACTGGTGGGGCATAGGGATGTTCTGTCTCTGACTTTTTTTTTTTTAATGGCAAGATTAAACAGACATTTTCTCTGAACTACAAGACTGTTCTTATGTTCTTAAGAACTCAGGGCAATGACCTCAGCTAAGAGTCACAACTGCTGGACATGATAATGTCTTTGGGGCTGTGCCCTACGCATTGCTCAGACACTGAGACACAGGGAAGGCACATCCTGGCAA